ATGGGCGACCCACAATGTACTGGAGGTTCATTCGGCAATTTCAAATATACGTTGCCTACAGGACTAATGACGATGAGCAACGCCTGTTATATTTGCTTCATTACTGTAAGGGGGAATCTAGGAGCGTAATTAAAGTTTGCATCACGTTACCTTTCACGGTTGGGTACGATAGGGCATGCACAATTCTCAAGGATTTACTTGGGAGCTCACATGAGGTAGCGCGCTCACTTTTAGATGGATTGTTGGAGGGTCTCAACATGAATAACGTGGATGCGGATGTGTTGTTTTGTCTAGCTATTCGAACGGAAAGCTGTATGATCGCCCTGAAAAAAATGGGTTACACGGCTGATCTTGATTCGTTTAACACTTTGAAACAACTAGTTAAAGAGTTGCCGCATTCTCTGCAACATAAGTGAGTGGAGACCGTGGATCGGATTGCTCAGAATGACAGGAAGCCAAATGTTAGCGAAATGACAGAATTTATATCTGAAATTGCTAGAGTAGCAAGGAGTCGCTTTGGGCAACTTGCTAACCGAAGCAGAAGAAGTAATAGACCCGTTCAGTCTACTCAACCTTCGAGGAGACGTCAAACTCATAGTGTAAATTTGGTCAAGAATATTAACGATCCACGAACACAACGATGCGTGATTTGTGCAGAAAACCATTCGGTTTCATCTTGTTTGAGTTTTTTGGAATTAAATACCCATGCAAGATGGGACAAGGCACACAAATATGGTTTGTGTTTTATATGTTTAAAAGGAAGCCATGAAGCGAATGAATGCACTAACAAGACCATTTGTGATGTAGATGGTTGCGGATGTAGATATCACAAGTTACTTTACGTCGTCAGGAGGGTCATAAGCACACAGCATGAACCAATCAATGAGGATCACTGCGGAGCAAATAGACTTCGGATCGGTAGTGTGAGCCTGGGATTACTACTCGTCAAAATAATAGCTGGATTAAAAGAGATTATCGGGTATGCTCTGCTAGATAATAGATCGGATACGACACTTAGTTAAGGCTAGTGCACTACTTCAGTTGGGGCTTAACCTTTAAAGAAACCATTCAAAATAACTACAATGAGTGGATCAATCGAGGCAAACTTTGACAGCAGTATGCGCGGAACAAGCTGTTGTTATAAAAGAATTGCCTGTTCATTAGCCGGTTAGAGACATCCCTGAAGGAGTGAAAAATGGCCCCATTTGGCAGAACTTCCAGTGGAATACTGTGATGGAGAAGTTCTGCTATTAATTGGGTGCGATAAACTCGAGGCGCATTGGGTACTCGACCAAAGGCTCGGCGGTCGAAAGAATCCTTATGCAGTTCGAACACTATTAGGTTGGGTGATTTTCGGGCCTTCAAGTTTCTCTTCGTATGAAATGAAATCGGTCAACTGCTTGGCTGCAGAAGACTCAAATTTAATGCATCGGATAATGCGAATTTACGGTGTAGACCTCCAGTTATTAGACCAAGGCATTTCCGTAGACGATACGGAAGCCATGGCTATTGTAGAGTTCGGTACAATGTTCGTCGATGGGCAATTCGTGGTCCCTCTGCCGTGGAAGAAGGGTGTCAATACCAGTTTGGGAAACTATGCGCCAGCGCTCTTGAGGTTGAACAGCTTGAAGCGGCGCTTAATTAATGACGAAGCGCTACGGCTCCGTTATGCACAAACGATGAAGATGACTATACAGAAGAGATATGCCGTGCCAGTTCCAGGGAAACAGCTACATGGCGACTCTCATCCGCGTTAGTACTTGCCACACTATGTAGTACTGAACAGAAAATAGCCGGAAAAGCTGCGTATAGTTTTGGATTGTGCGGCCAAACACAAATGACAATCGTTGAATGACATGCTATATCAAGGTTCAGATACCACGGCGAATTTAGTGGGTATACTTTTGCGATTCCGTAAAGAACATGTAGCTGTTACAACTGACAGAAGAGATTTTTATACAATTGATGGTGCCAAAACATGATAGAGGCACTTTGAGGTTTCTCTGGTGGCCACAGGCTAACCTACTAAAGGATCCCGAGGAACATAAAATGACATCCAATAATAATAATAATAATAATAATAATAATAATAATAATAACGGTATATTTCGCGAAGCCCGCGAAGCATGCTAGTGCGCATGATCAAAATGTACAACAATATGAAACGTGAACAGTGGAGAGCAAAACGTAATAGTACAAAGAGTGTAGGAACGTGATTTTCAAACACGTACGTAGAATATCGTAAATTGTCCTTGCGTTGAAAACGAAACACAAAGTGGACAAGGTCATAAAGATGGAGTTTTGGGGTGATCTGTTATGGTAAACTTATGTCTTATGAAAAGTAATGGCAAGACGGACAATTACGAGTTGGAATATCCGCTCGGGAGAAAATGCGCGGAAGCGAGTTCAAAGAACAGAAACAGAATAGCAACGAAGAAAGATTCATAATTTTAGAGGCAGAGCTGCAGTGGAGCTGAAGGAGAGTGCAGTAATTCAAGAAGAGACGACAGATGACTTGTGAATAAACTGTTTCATATGTCTA